AGCAAGTCACCCAGAAGCAGCCCCAGACCATCACACTAGCATCACCATATTTGACTTTTCAGATGGTGTTTCTTTAATGAAATGCTGTGTTAGTTTTACACCAGATGGTGAAAGTTCAACATTTTTCTCCTCAGTCCACAGAATATTTTCAAGAAAGTTTTGGGGATCATCAAGACGTTTGTGCAAATGTGAGACGAGCCTTTGTGTCCTTTTTGGTCAACAGTGGTTTTCTCCTTTAAACTCTCCATGGATGCCATTTTTGCCCAGTCTCTTTCTTTTTGTTGAATCATGAACTCTGGCCTTAACTGAGAGAAGTGAGCCCTACAGAAGTTTAGATGTTGTTTTGGATTCTTTTGTGGCCTCGTGGATGAGTCGTCGATGCACTCTTGGAGTAATTTTGGTAGGCTGGGAAGGTTGGGGAAGGTTCACTGCTATCCTGAGTTTTCTCCATTTGTGGACCGTGGTCCACTGGAGTCCCAAACTTTAGAAATGGTTTTGTAAACCTTTAAATACTAATAAACGGCAATGACTTCTTTCCTTTTCCTTCATTAGCTCTTGTGTATTTAAACCTTCAGTTTGCTTCTGTTTGTTGTGTTGTACTGTGTAGTCTGCTTGTTTGTTTCCTGCTCATTCCTGCAGGGTATTCCCTGTATTCCGAGTGTACGTACTCAGCTTCTATTTGTCAAATATTAAATTATATTTCGTGATCTGAAACGTAAGTGTGACGCACACGCACAGACATACAGCAAGACTACAGACTGCTTGTTCAGTGTGCTCCTGTTGTAAGCTTGAATATAATATTTCACCTTTAATGGGATCATAAAATACAGACTGAAGTGTACCGCCTGTCCAAATGTTTTTCTTCTCTAGTGAGAAAAACATGCACAGTCACTGTGATATAAAGCCTCCCAAAGACGTCCTGACCTCACAAGTGCAGCTAAAGTGAGCTTTAAAGTTTATCACAGCGTAGAAAACTATAGCAAAAGAAATCATCTTATATTTATAGTCTGGAGCCTGCAGCAAACCCACACTGCACATTCTAAACAGCGGCACTACCCACAGTGTCTCAATGCAGCAAAGCACAAGACAGAAATCTCAGAAACCATTTTTATATATATGTATGTGACTGTTCAATACACAACATAATTTTAGTCTTGTTATCCTGTTCACTGGGCCATCCTTAATGCCCACTTTTAATTATTATTGTTATTTTAGCTGTATTTAAAAAAAATAAACTGTGCATGAGGTTAGGTAGAGAAAACTAAGTCAGCAGAATGGAAACAAAGTTTAGTTCTGTAGTTGAAAACTTTGAGTATTTTTGTCTTGTTTGTCCAAATACATTGACTTGACTACACAGTCTTTGTGGTACAGTGTGTTGTGCTTGTCTGTTTACCCCCAGATATTAAACTCAATGTGGTTTGTCCTGCACAGACTGTTAGCTCAGGGCTTTTATTAGCTCTGTTACAGCAATATTCTAAAGTCAACAGTTTTACAACAGTCCACTTATGTTTCTGTTTGATCTGGGCTGGCTCATAAGAACCAAACCTAAAAAAAAAAATTCCAGTTGTTTTTTTAATTTAAGCCAAATCTGTTACTCTCTCTCCCTCTTTTTTTTCTGTGAGTTTGATATGAAAGCCTGGTAACACCGTTCTCCCACAGCAGGTGGACGGGCTACTGTCATTTTTCAGCTGAGATCTAAAGCGGTCGTGTTTATAGCTGGGTATGATCTGTAAAATCTGCTGTAGTCCAGTAGCAACGCTTTCAAAAAAACCTCCTTTTCTACTCCTTTATGTGTTTAAATCTGTCTCTCCTCAGACATCCTCAGATGTTTGACTTTTCCTGTGCAGAATGATTCAGTGACATGAGAAGGAAGCATTTTCTGAATTACCTGCAAAGTTCCCAAATCTTAAGCATTACACTTCATAGTGATATCTGATGAGTGTTTTTGTAATAATCACGTGCAAAACATTTTTAAAGACAGTGAGAAAAATAATTGTCTCACTGCTGATAAGAAAATAAACATCTCTCGTTATTTAAGGCAATGAAAAAATGATGAAACTTTGTGTTTTGGTGACCATGAAATGTGCAAAGAAGATACTTCAGTTAAGCAGAATCTGATAATACAAAAGTTTTTTGAACTCATGTGGTTCATTTTCTTGTTGTTTGCACATCAAATTCTGTTAGAGATTTCTCTGCTGTTGTGGACCACGGACCCCCAAGTCATCAGCTTAGGAGAAACAATATAATAGATGTAATTTTTGTGATTATAGTGATTATAGTGATTGTGAAGGCTTCCATATTTTCGGCAGAGGAGTTTATTTCAAATAAACAAACTCTCACTGAGCAAGATTGCAACTTCTTTTTAATTCTGCCAGCTGGTGGCCATGCTGCTAAAAAAAAAAAGCGTATTCTCAGGTGTGAGATATGCACTGGAGAAAAGAGGAAAGTAGAATGAGAGAGAAGCAGGTGCAACAGTGAAGCTGCAAGGAGCAAAGGCAGCAAAATACATGGAATCAACCACCTAAGACAACAGACATTGCACAAAAGGGGTGAATAAGAGTGCGCAGGCGGGGCGGAGTGAGTGGGCGAGAGTGTCAGGAAAGTTTACAAGATGGCAGTGAGACCTGCTGTGATATGAGATTTGAAAATGGTGCCACTGACAAAAGACGGGGGGTGGCAGAGTCGATCATATTAAGATTTTCATTATGAGTGACCATGATGGACATGATTGGAAATGAGTGCATCAGAGGGACAGCTCAGGTTGATCTGTGTGGAAAAAGGCAACGTTAAGCTGGTTTGGACATGTGCAGAGGAGGGGGAGTGGATAAATTGGCAAAAGGATGTTGAAAATGGAGCTACCAAGCAGCAGGAAAAGAGAAAGACCGCAGAGAAGATTCCTAGATGTAGTGAAGGAGGACGTGCAGAAGGTTGGTGTGACAGACGAATGCTAGGGAGAGGATGAGATGGAGGCAGATGATCCACTGTGGCAACCCCACATAAAGGGAACAGATGACAGAAGAACAGCCACAACGAAACAGCATTACAGTTTTGGATGGTTAATGGTTGGATAACCATCGCTAGAGTTTCATATAATGAGTGCAGCATATGTGCAGGCTTCAGATGTCTTTAAGCACTCTGCTTTAAATGGTTTTATTCGGTTCTTTTCTCTGTATGATGCCAAAGAGAGGGGGTGTGCTGAATACAGTCATCTCAGGAACAGCAGCCCAACCCATCTGCTGTTCAAACCTTCTATTAGTGAAGGATAGCCAATTAGAAAAAAGTTGGCTTAAAGGGAGAGAAACGAAAAAATAAACTAGATGAGCTGACGTGCTTCACAAAGACCCAGTATGAGATTAATAATTTTAAACTGTGAAGTTTAAAATACAATAGAGTCTGACAGTAATAATATGAAAATGTAAATCAGCAGAATGGGTCACCTTTAAGAAATGTCTTTAGTTTTGAATGTACCTGAGACTGCGGCAGCACTAAAAGCTGAGCTGGCAGCCTGATGTAGCAGTATAAGGCAAGGCAAGTTTCGTTATATAGCACAACAGCAAGGTGATTCAAAGTACTTTACGGAGACATTAAAAAACAGAAACAAATAAAAAGCATGATTTAAAATGAAAAAAAAGAGTAAGTTTTAAAATTTAAGCTTAAAAGTAAAAGAGTGTGGATTTGGTGTTTTATTCAAATGCAGCTGAGAACAGGTGAGTCTTCAACCTGGATTTAAATAAACTGAGTGTTTCAGCTGATCTGAGGCTTTCTGGGAGTTTGTTCCAGATATATGGAGCATAAAAGCTGAATGCAGCTTCTCCGTGTCTGGTTCTGACTCTGGGAACTGGTAAAAAAATGGATCCAGATGACCTTTGTCATGTATTTTGGTCCTAAACCATTCAGAGCTTTATAGACCAGCATCAGAACTTTAAAGTCTATCCTCTGACGGACAGGCAGCCAGTGTAAAGACCTCAGAGCTGGACTGATGTGGTCCACTTTTTTGGTCTTAGTGAGGACTCGAGCAGCAGAGTTCTGAATGAGCTGTAGTTGTCTGACTGATTTTTTAGATAGACCTGTAAAGATGCTGTTACAGTAATCAAGCCTACTAAAGATGAATGCATGGACTAGTTTTTCCAGGTCCTGTTGAGACATCAGATCTTTTATCCTTGATATATTCTTGAGGTGA